CCCGCCCTGAGGCCCGCGAACTCGGTGCGCTTGATCGCTATACTATACCATAGATGACAGAAATCCAAAAAATTGGGAGATTTATTGCTAACTAAAGTGATACAACGGGTAATCAAGTATGTTACACCCCAGGCATCTCGCCCTGTCGACCAGCCACAGATTTTCCGCGCAACAATTGCGCACTGCGGTGCGAGCAAATCCGAGTACGGGTAGCCAAAGGCGAGAATTGAACCCTCCAAAGGGTCAAAAAGATAATTAGTATCGTACATACCCTCAGCCAATGCCATTTACTCATAACACCTGTCCCCGGAACAATGTGGACGCCCGACACGACCAGCTTTCATATTTGGTATGATGGTGGAAAAATCAGAATTCATGTTCGGCACGGACTAGAAAGGTTTCTTCTCAGCCTTTTAAATTGTCCCCCCCCCCCCCCCTCCGGTTCTGTGTTATGATAAGCACCAAACCCACCCACCAAATTGCGAGTGCCTGCACGTCTCAATTTCATACCGACTCGCTACCACGAAAGACAGATTACCGTATTAAATGTAAAACCTCATATACTCGCAGTGTCGTGACGTTTTTAAGATGAACTACTGCTACTACTACTCCAGTATTGCATATGGCCAAGAATTGGCCTGACCCATCGGGATTTTAGTGGTAACTTTATGCGATAACTTGTCTACGGAGGTATTCCACAAACGTCACGAAATTACGAGTATGATAGTCAAAGAGATATGCCATACAGCACCCCCTGATGCAAAACGCAGCGCGATACCGTTACCAACGATGATATCCAGATCACTCGAAAAAAGAAAGAAAGAAAAAAGGTTTCTTTTAAATTCTCACAAATCCTACCCCACTAAGCAAGCAAGCAAGCAAGTAAGAATAAAGCACACTCAGCTGCACATCATGTGAGAACACAATCTCGCTGCGCAGTACGAAATTGGGGAACAGCTATCTATCCTCTCCAGTATTCCGCTTCAACTGAGCAGTAATACCGTCCCACCCTTCGGAGAAAGAGGGACAAGCGAGACCAACAAAGTAATGCGTCCCACTAACCTTCAGGTAGACCCCAGTTTGTCGGTCATCAACATACCGGTACGGTACTCCATTTATAACGCCCCGCCGGCTTACTGTGCTCTGAAGGCATGCGGGCTGGCGTACGAGCACCTATCATAGCCCGGTATACCCAAGCTTAGGCATGGAGATAACAAGTCTTTGTTGAACGAGAGGATCCACGTTGGATTCGAGTAGGGTAGCTGCAGCGTTCGCAGCCCGAGCCCGGTTCTGAGGAATCGATGCCCCATACAATATTTTGACTATCGGGTTTATGAGATTTACCTTTTTTTGTCCAACAACTAATCGAGCAAGCGAGGGTGGGGAAAGGACCCACATAACGGTATGGTGCTGTACAGTACTCGTACTAATGCGGCTGAGTTGAAGTTGAACGCCAGACTATTTGAAATAAGCGGGAGTGAATCTACGCGGAGCCTGTCGTTCTCATCATGGCCATACCGGTACTGAGCAGTTCAGACTTTGCGCTATTCTGAGCACTAAATTTCACCCCTTTGGAACAACAAAACCTTTCCCTATCACGATTTCTCAAAAAGGCTAGTATTCAACAGTTCAAACAGGGCTGGGTGTTTCAGCGGCTTGGTGGATACTGGTAGACTACAGGTACTCGAGTACGTGCTGGTGGGGTACCGATACTGGTACAGTAGAGTACAGTACAAAATTTTGGAGGGTGAGCGCGCAAAAGCACCCAAAATGGATTATGACGGAGAAATCAAAGCACTTTTAAACCGTTAGGCCCTTCTCCACTACCAATGGACAAAACATCCAATTGAAAAATTTGCTGCGAGGGTGTTTGCCCGCTCATCCTCCAGTCTAATCCCCTTCCCTGCAGCTTGGCTTGCTGTTTGTTGATTTGCAAGCATGCACCTTGCACAGCCACTTGCCACAGGGAAGAGATTACACGCCAAGAGACCGGTACTTGACCATTCTAAAAGTATCCGGAAATCTTGGCGCTTGCTAGGCAAAGATGTCCTGATACTTTTGCCATGCTCGAGTGCAGTGCTGGCGTACTGTAGTACCAGGCGCCAGTACAGTACCATCCCAAGCAACAAGTACCGGTACTCGCAAGCAGGGATTTTTGTGAATCTGTATCGGCGGTTCTACTGTGCTCGAGTACTCGTACCGGTAGTATCCGCGCATCCTTTGACACACATATCTTGCTAACCCCCATTTCCGGATACCTACGGTACTACCTAGGACAAGTACCAGTGCTTTACGATACTGCGGTACTCAAAGTACTCCCGTTCAGGGTATCAAGGGTAAGTCTGTCGAGCCCAGCGGTCTCCCGACCACTCAGAGGATGCGATTCTCTCCAGCCACTGGGGGAGAATTCAACGGACTTTCTTCCCTTCGCCAAAACGTAGCCTAGCATAGTAATTTTGACGAAAGGGCCAAGGATCGACAGTATGCTCACATTCTAAGTGCACTCGCAACCCGGAGAAGAATATGCCTATGGCAGCTAATCAATCACAAACCGGGGGATGGAGTACTAGTACAGTACGATAGTCTGCACTTGCACACGATACAAGACGCTGGGGGAACGGCTAAGCGAATTCCAAAATATTGGTAATGTGCCTATTGATGGGTGGCTAGGCACCCCCCCCCCCCCGTTCCCTATGTTCTCTTGAAAAAGTGGGTCTTCAGCACCTCGGAGATTTGTTTCGAATGAAAAATAAAATGCTCTGTGACCCCGTTTGGTCCCGTGGTCGGTTGCACTCACCGACTTCTTCGGGGAGGGTAAGAGCACTGGTACAGTACAGTACAGTAGCTCGCTGTGGAGGGGGGCTTGCATCCCAAAAAACTGATGATCATACCGCACCAAGGCGCCACGAGTAGCTTAATACGATACGAGTAAAATGTATAATAGAAACGATTAAAAGGTTGATGGGATGCCCAGTCTTTCCTGAGACATCGGTGCGAGGTCGGACAGATGGATGGAGTAAATTGCACTTCTGCCTTCCCGATATCGATATCGTAGCACTGGAGCCGGCCGCCCTGTCCCACCAAGAATAGTGCCTGCCAGCGCCACCCCGACGCCCAAAAAGCTGCTCGCCTCGCAACGTTCCTGTACCGTTCGGCGGTTTGAGCCACAATGTCGAGGCTATTCTTAGAATCGGTGGTTGAGGCTTGGGCCATTGGGATAGTTAATCAGCTTCCACGCCAAGATGTTTTATCCGCCCGATTGTGCAAATAGGGTACCATACTCGAGTAAAGGCTGTCTCACCATTCCAGTAGGGCTGAACCAGAAAGGGGGAGAAGACTGTTTCTCCCTCCACCCTTCTCCACTCGTGATTGCTCGAGTATGATACCAGTACAAGTACGACACCTCTACGGTGGTGAGAGGTAAGAGCTAATCTTAGGGGGAGCACGGCGAAGAAGGCAGTTGTTAAATTAATTTTTTTTCCCTCCTGGGTATTCTACAGTGCCGTTAGCGATACGGTACTTGCGTACGAGTACAAGAACCACCGGTACCAGGTGGGCACAAGGAAATTAGTTGCAAGGAGAACATACTGTACGGTACTCGAGTTCTGTACAGTACTGTACTCCTACTCGAACATAAGCAGGCAAAGGCGGTGCCTCGCACGCCTGTGCCTGGATTTTGGGATCCCGTTCAGGTACGGCGCTTAGCCAAGGACGAGATTAGATCGACGTGGCTGGCTCAACAACGGCCAGAGGGCGCAATGATTGGTTGGTGTTCTGGAACTCCCTGCAGCACCTTGACTCGAATACTGCCCCTCCCCTGCTTGGCACTCAATAACCTTCTTTGCTGGCCAGCTGCATCAAGGTGTGGGTGCAGAGGAGGAGGTCCAAATGTTCGTTCATGAGGTGGACGAAGGGGTCGAGAGGGAATCTATGGCTGGCTCAACTCGAGCCGCTTACTGGACCCCGCACCCACGCGAGAATCAATCCTGACACAACTGAAAGGAAGTCTTTGGAGATGTTCGCTTCATGTTCCAAACATGGTCACCAGTCTTGTCCCCTTATTCACCGTGTGGGTGAGTATCACAACCGCTAATATCAAGAAGGGCTGATACCAATATATTTATCATACTCAACATTCATTTCGTTCCTCGGTGGCTTCCTACCGAGTTAGGATCTCACCGTACTAAGGTGGTGGTGGTGGTATCATAGCTACCTTTGTAGGCTGTCACACTCATCCTGACTACGTGCTGCGGCTGACACCCAACCTTCTCCGGCCCCCCCTGCATTTTTCTATTGATTCAAGTTCCCCACCCTACTTTTATATAACTGCCGTCAACTCTCCCTGGTGCCCTCACCTTCTATTCTGCTCACTCCTCTTACATATTATTATTATCTTTCCTTTTCAAGTCCATTTATTACCCACTTATCCCTTCCCTTCCCTTCCCTTCCCTTCCCTTCCTTCGTTTTGATCTGCACCACACCCCACACTCGCTCTAACACCAACAACTAACAGACACATTCCAAGAGAAATAAATAAAAAGTCCATCATGAAGAGCGCCATTTCCTTCGCCCTCCTGGCGGCCGCCACCGTACATGGCGCTGTCCATAATTCCACCGTGTCCGCTACTTCTGTCGCCGACAAATTCCCAATCATCAACTTCATGGGACCTACCATCGAGGGTGCCTCTGTCAACCGCAAGGGAGAGCTCTTTGCCGTAAACAAGACACACTTTCTCTCCCTCAAATCCGGCACTAGCGACCCAAAGAATCCCAAACTTACCGGTCCGGGAGATAAGACGAGCCACTTTGCCAGTTCCCGTTTCACTCGCACCCAGGACGTTCTCATTGGTGATGCCGTTGGCCACTCCATCTGGCAGCAGGACTACAACAGCAGTGATCTGAAGCGACGATGGAACGGGAGGTTTGCCAGGAGAGCCTATACCCCATTCCTGATCAACGATAAGCTCCTCCAGCCCAATGACTTTACCATTAACGGCGCCGAGACATACCTCTACATGTCCGGAATGAACTACACCGCCACCACGGTAGCGGGCGAACACGGCGATGTTTGGTACTACAACATCAAGACTGGCGCCTACAAGCAGGTGCCCAAGGAGGTCATGAGAGGTGCGGGAATTCATCGTTGCAATGGCATCGACCTCTCCCCCGACGACAAGTACCTTTACGTCACCTCCGCCCAGAACATTAACGACGTCGTCACAAGCACCAAGGTCTACAAGTTTGTAATCGATCCCGCCACCGGCGAACCCAAAAATCCCACCACCGAGGTGGACCTCTACCAGGTCCTTTCCAATGCCGGCGTCAAGGCGAGGGAGAGGGGCATGGACCCCGATGGAATGCGCATGGATGTTGAGGGAAACCTCTTCATTACTCTGAACGCCATCCCCGGCGTCCTCAGATGGAACACCAAGGCCCCTGGCGACGGCACTTACATCCCCCTCACCACCGTCTTCGCCCCTAGCAATCTGGAATTCGGCGGTGAGGATGGAAAGACTCTCTATATCGTTGGGCGCTGCCAGGGTCTCGAGAAGGCCTGTGTCGATGCCTACAAACATGACAAACCTGGTCGCGCCATCACCAACCTCCGAGGCACGACCCCTCCGAAAACCAATTCCAATACAGGAACCGGTAGTGGAAACAGTGGAAACAGCACTAGTAAGTCTGTCCTTAATGTTCCAATTGATTTGACCCCGCTAACTCCAACTCCCCAGGCCCCGGAACCGAATACCCTAACGTATCGAACCCACCCAACACCGGCAGCGGTAGTCCAACCGACGCCGAAAAGGAAATGATGAGGATGAAGCTTTTGGAGTGGATCAAGATCATTGAGAAGTACATCGCGACCTGGCTCAAGGATGGAAACCCTGTCCCAAACTAGATGAAATCATTATTTCCTCGGCATAATTCCGTGTCTATTTTTTTTTTTTTTTTTTTTTTCAGCTTTCCCCCCCCTATTTTTATATATATTACCGCGAAAAACTTTGTCCTGTTAACTACCTACTACTTGGGTGGACGATACGATTACTAGAAAGGGGTCATTACCTTTCCTCATGAGCATTGTTTTGTTCCCCCTTTTTTTCACTCACCTCCTTTTTTTTTCTTGTCCGTTTACTATCGTATTCCCCTTCCTCCTTCTCTTCCTCCTTTCCCACCACAAACACAACACAGTAATCTACCAGGGTGGGAACAACCCAATCCTACCCTCTATTATCTACACTTACATACCTTCATACCATCATTGAGACGGGACGGGCGGGAAGCACCAGGGGGAACATCGGAAAAACGGTCTTTGTTTGTTACCACTCATGGTTTATTTTCTTTTTTCATATATATGTATTGTAGCATTGCGCATGGGATTGGCGTTCATAATATTATCTCTTTGTTCCCTTCTTGTTCCCTGCGGAAAACGAAATATGCTGGGTTAGGGTGCAGTGCTGGTACGCTTATTGGATGCCAGGTTGCTGTTAGATTAGCTCACATTTGTCATCCCTGCCGTTGCCGGTTTCAGATGTAACTCGAGGCCTGATTGCCCCACACCGCCGGGCGAAGCCACAGTTTTGGGAAGGATCCACTCCCCTCGAATACCAGCCGATCCCGGGCCCTCCCTGTATGATACCGGTACTGTACCAGTACGAGTACTTGTGCCCGAGAATGATAGAATACGATATGATACCAGCTGTAAAACCCAAGGTGCCACCAAGGATAGCACCGTACCCCAACTCCCAAGCAGAAACGCGAGCTGAAAAATCCGAAAAACCAAACCAGATCCGAGTGCATTTGTTGATTCTTTGAAAAGTCTTGGAGTGGTATCTGATGATAGGGCTCCGGAACCGGTACCTTCTTTGGGGGTGGAATTCAAAACGAGTGGAAAGTATTGAAGGTGGGAAACAATTCTAACCAGTGGAATGGTGAAAGAAGAAAAGAAACGAAAAGAAAAAGCTGATCATCTTGCTTTCTCACCTCCTGTCCTGTCAACTTACTGTATCTGTTTTGTCTGCTTTTCTGGATGGTGCCGGTGCCTTGCCCGTTGATTACACCCACTGCATGGGCCTGCGAGAACCGGTAGGCACTGGTATTGTACTCGTACGTGTATTCTAGGTTCAAAGTTCCTTACCCCGCCCGGTTTTGTTTCTCGAAAAATCGCGATAAAACGGCATGTGCTAAATCTTTATGATACACGTATAACCAGGACTACTCGTACCGTAAGCCTTCAAGGGAGCGGCACACAGTTGCTGGTGTCTGATAGTTCTCGCCGGATTATGAGATACGGCATCTAAGAGGAGAACAAAGCCTCATCACTTTCCGTTCTCAGAACCCCGAGAACGCGCATACATACCGGTGTGGATTGGAAGCATGGTTGGCACAGCACTTGCAGGGTAGGTATGATACCGGTATGATATCTACGAGTGCGGCCGATGAATATATCCGTCACGTGAAATCTGGTAAAGCAAAAGCAGCACATTGCAACTGCGGACACATATTCCCCATACCATGCGTGATACCCAAATGTTCAGCATAATGATATCAATACAGTAAAATAAACCGGAAAATGCAGAACAGAAGAACCTCAAGGGAAAAAAGGAAACAAAGAAGAGAAAAAGCAGGAAATTATCCATGAAAATTATTATCACACTTATTTTTTAATAACAAGTTCAAGCTTATTTGGAAGATCCAAACAATGCCAATGTATTAAGTCAAGAGGTATCTTCTCCTATTTGAGTACCAAAGCTCTCTTTACCTGCTCTTTCGTACTTTGACTATGCCCAGAAAATTCATACTCCTCAAGTGAGTACTTCGAATAGTTCCATAATGTTTTGATCTTATTCAGGTCAGGTGATTACACTGGCCAGTCCACCGAGTGCAGTTGTAACATGTTCGCAAGGTGCTAGTCACATTATCGGTAAAGGTACGATAGTTGGCAGGTGGCCTGCTCTACCAGAGAGGAGGCGAGAGCTGAGAACTAAAGGAGATTTCGATGGTGTACTGAGGAACAAAGAAGTAACCGTTCAACCTAGTAGATTGATATACTGTCTGTCGAAGTCTGCCTTTTCCATCGTGGAATCAGGCAGTCTTTAAACACACAAATCTGTTCATATCTAGCATGAACGAAACTAATCAAAGGTATCAATTGATACACTTTAGTAAAACTAATTAAGTATTAAAGTGATACTTAAAACAAAATATAAAACAAAGCCAAGTATTAAACGATACTTAAAATATAACGTGTTCACAAGGTGCTAATCACATTATCGGTAATAGATACGATAGTTGGCAGGTGGCCTGCTCTTCCAGAGAGAAGGCAAGAGCTAAGAACTAAAGGAGACTTCGAGGGTGTACTGGGGAACAAAGAAGTAACTGTTCAACCAAGTATATTGAAATACCGTCTGTCAAAGTCTGCCTTTTCTATCGTAGAAACAGGCGGTCTTTAAATACACAAATATGTTCATATCTAGCATGAACAAAACCAAACAAAGGTATCAATCAATACACTTTAGTAAAACTAATTAAGTATCAAAGCGATACTTAAAACAAAATAGAAAACAAAACTAAGTATCAAACAATACTTAAAACAAACCAAATATCAAAGCAATACTTAAAGCAAAACATAAAATAAAACCAATAACCGAGTATCCATACAAGTTACATTCTCGATAAAGTACCCAGTCAATTCCATTCTTAGATCTGTCTCCTTAGTCCTTAATCTGTTCTTTAAATTCTCATTCGGGATTTCTTTTTCAGTGCAAGTAGCCTGAAGAATGCAGATTAGTTTGATTTAAATATTGAACCTTGGCGTTCAATTCTTGCAAAATGGTGAATTCCTCAGTTTTCTCAATGAGTACTCATATCCTTCTTTGAGTCTGCTAACTTTTCTTTACTTCATTTTCTCTTTCAATCATTTTGTTAAAATGATTCTTCTCTTACTCAGTCTCCCTCTCTCAGACAAAACACAGACTGTGGTATTCATACACTATACATGCCCAAAACATGATATGGATATCAGAAGTCTCAAAGTGATGTATATTGTAGTCAAGTGGATTTGACCCACAGGGTCGGGAGATATTGGAAGAATGCCGTGGGTGACCTATTTCAACTCAGGTCTCATCTGAATATACAACAATACCTGCAATAATTAGCATTAGGTATAAAGCAATACTAAGTAAAATGTTACTCTATAATGTGAGCTTTTAGTATATCAAACATTCATTCTCCTTACATGATATATGTTTTCACAACTCTTGAATTGCAGTAAAAAAAAAAGAGAAGTCTACCTTGAGTCTATCTGTATTACCCAAAATGCAAAGTCCATTCTTGCTTCCTTATAAAACAAGTTCAAAACTGGCTTTTACTGGGTAGGTGGGAACTGATGGATATTGTGGTGATTATGCATAACACACATTCGATCGTTGAGTGAGCAGCTTTCATGAATGTGGCTTGGCATGAAAAAGGTTTTCACGTGATATATGATTATCAGTCACAGGTATGTTATTGTTTCACATATATGACTCATTTGAGTCATATGATTTGTTATGTGTAGGATTTGTGATGCTTTTGCACATGGCTCAAATATGAGTCATGGGACGTGCGCCTGGCAAGTATGTCTTGTGAGTGTGTCTTGTGGGTAAGCCTTGTGCATATGATTTATGTTTCACACATGACCTCATTATGAGGTCATGGGTTTCACGCATATGACTCAGTTAAGTCATATGACTTGTTTATTGCGTTATGATTGGTTTATGAGTTTTTGTACATGACCTTGCTACGAGGTCATGGGTTTTGAGCATGTGACCACTTTGGTCACATGACTAGTTTGTTATGATTTGGTTTTGCACATGTGACCAGTTTGGGTCATATGACTATGAGCGGGAAGAATACTATATAAGGAGGCCGATGGGGCTGAGAAAGATAGGTTCTTCACGCTTTGTTCTAAGTACTTTTCCTACTTCTTGCACTCCGTATCGGAAGTGAGCATAACCAATACTTTACCTTATTTAGCTTGCGATAAATACTTCATCTGCTATTACTTGTTTATGTTTTTTCGTTTCGGGCAGTCGGTTAGAAGTAGTTGTTCTCGCTTAGAAGATACTTCAGTGTAAGATATCCGTGGCCTGGTCCCGGTAATCACTAAGTAAAGTTTGGGCGACGATGGCATCTTCGACAGCCTCCTCTTCCATGGATTCTTCCCCCGCTTCAAGGATGTCGTCCCCCGTTCGGTTCGACTCCAACCTCCTCTCCTCACTTGAGACAGCCCGTGTGGCCTTGTCTCTTGCGCCCACTACTGAGGCTGACCATGGCCTTATCCCCACAACTACATGGTCATATGTCGCACCCAAAGGGAACTTTAACTTCCTGCAGTTTCACCACTATCACGGGTGTCAGAATGCGATGAACCTGCAGTTCGATGATTTAGCTCAGCAAATGATAAAAGAAGTGGAGGTTTTGGTGAAGGCTTTTCTAGTTGGGAAGGGCTGTTCAGCTACGTGTGGCTTGAACAAGGACACCACCACAGGACTCTTTGTTCGGTTCAACTCCGATCATGGCTTGAAATACTCTCCAGCCCCCGCACCCTCCCCACCCAAAGACTCTCAAGCCGTAGTACCTGAATCCTGTGTACTACCGAACAAGAGCGCGACTACGGTAGAGGCAAGTTTATGGTCTGCTACCCCTCCCCTCGCTAGGGCTGTCCAAAGCAAGATGACTAGTTTCCTCCACCAGGCCCTTGCACGCAAGACTGGCTCATCAACCCCTTCCTTTCTGGTTAGGATGTCGTCTGGAGAAAGGGCTCTTTACGAGACCCCGAAGTTCAGATTAGATGCCCCAGAAGATGAGGACTACAACCCCCCTGCCGCTGGAATGCGACACCGTATGTGGTCAGCGTCA